TAAAGAGACCATAAGATAGTGTCAGATTCCCTGGAACTGGAGTTTCATGGAGTTGTAAGCATCCTGACGTGGGTGCTAGGAATCACATTCAGGCCCTCTACCAGAGCAGTGTGTGATCCTAACCACTGAGCCACCTCTCTGGTCCCTGGACTAGTTTTTTTTTTTTTTTTTTTTTTTTTTTTTTTTTTTTGACTAATCCAAAAAGAAGAAGTGCAGTGTAAAGACCCAGGATATGCATCCAAATGTAAAATGAAGCCTGACAAGCTAGTTCTGCCCTTTAGAATGCTTGACAGCATGTTTAGATGCTATGCTTTGAGTATATGCCAGCCATTCCTGCGACAAAAGTCTTTCCCAGGATGTGATAGGCTGTGATAATGAGCGCCCCCCAGAGATCCACCAAGAGGTGACTGCCCTGGCCTGGAGCTGGGCAGCCAGGACCCCCTCACCATTTGAATTGGCTCTGTAGGTTATCCAACACTTCTGCTCCTGATTCTTTTCCAAAAGCCATCTTTAAATGTGATTTCTTAAAGGTGATTAGAACCTAGGGCAAAGTAAGAGTAGATAGTGCATAATTCAGTGCTTGGACTTGAGAAATTTTTTTTAAAAAGCATTGCTATTTTCACTTGTGTTCTGGATAATTGAAAGTTCCATTGAAATAATTTTTGTGAGTTATTTCTGGATACAAATGATAATTTATTTTATCACTTGATGTAACCCGAAAGCTTTTGACCCAACTATTGAATTCTGACCTTGGCTTTGTAAAAAAAAAAAAAAAAAAGCTAATGGAAAAATAAACATTTTAAAGGGGTTCAGAGACAGGATGTGATACTACCATGTGTATTAATGATACCTAAAGGGTTATGGAAAGATCTCAAGTAAACCTGGGTTCTTGACAGTATTCCTGGAGATTGAAGCAAGAAGGAAGAAGGGGTTCGTGTAGTTTACAGACCTTCAAACCTACTTGTTCTTCCCCGAAAGCCTACGACGGTACAAGACTCAATATGTACCTTCTTTGCAACTATTTAACCCAGCTGTTCCTCTGTGAATCTGTGTTATTGCTACAAACAAAGATTTCATTTAAAAAACAACTCTAAAGGATTATAGACTTATGACAACAACTTAGTTCTGATTGTGAGGTTGTTCCCCATTGTTGGTTGCTCGTCTGATTCTGTGTTCTGTCCCCCTCCGGGTCTCATCTGTAAAACATCCAGAGGAGGGGGGAAGAGGGCAGACAAGACGTTACCTAAGATCTTTAGTATGTTGAAATTATATGATTTTGATTTAAACCTAATTTGTTATACTTCCTTTCCTGGTTAGATATTTATCAACAATGACTGGCATGACTCCAAGAGTGGAAAAAAATTTGCCACATATAACCCTTCAACTTTAGAGAAAATATGTGAAGTGGAAGAAGGAGATAAGGTGGGTCCTTTTTTCCTCTTTTCTAAGTAATTCAATTACAAATAAATGAAGGCAAAGAAAGCTGTGCAGCTTAGCTGTAAGACACATGGGGCCACCTCTGGGTAGGGCCGGGGCAACCACACCAGCCAGTCGGTATGTGCAGCTCAGATGCGGCCTAGAATGGGATCAATTACAGACAGTCTTCTGCAAAGAGTCACCCGCCTTTGATGGATGTTTCTCCATCTCTAAGGATGACCTCAGCTGTCTTCATCACATGGGTAAAGGAAAGGTTTTTATCAATTATTTCAACCTGTAAGCATTAAAGAGTCTTTGCAGAAAGCATTTCCTGCTGGTGTGTTTCACCAAAGGCAACATTCTGGCAAGAGACACTTTAAAAAAAAAAAGTCTTAGGGAAAAAGAAGTTGCTGCCCAAATGATTCCAGGGTAATAGTATGTCATGTGACTACCGGATTTCTTTGCTAATGGAAACTTACATGATCATGTGAAACTGTAGACTGCATACACGTTTTGGCTAGTGTAAGGCCTTCTTTATATGTAGAAGCTAAAGGAATTCTATATGTATCCTTTGTACCTTTCAAGGCCATAAAGTATGTTTTAAATAGAAGGGCCACTGAAGGGAAGATCTGAGTAAGGATCTTCTACAGAGGGAGGGGAACAACATCTAGAGTGCTAGATGGACAGCCTGTCTTCCTTTCTTCCTCTCTTCCTCCCACACTCTCTTTTTCCCTCCCTCCCTCCTTCTCTTCTGTCACCCCTTCATCCTTCCTCACTTCCTTCCTTTTTCCCCTTTCCTCCCTTCTTTTCCCGTCCCTTCCCCCCTTCCTCCCCCTCTGCCACCCTATCCCCCACCTCCACCCCCACCCCACTCTCTTCCTTTCTGAGATAGAATTATTACTCAGGCTGGTGGAGAAAGAACTCTTAGATTTTCCTGGAATTACGGGTGCTGGGCAAATCTTTTTGTTCAGTGTTGCAAGTCAGATCCAGGGCCTTTTAATATATTAGGTAAGCCTTCGAAGGCTAAGCTACATCCCTAGCTCTTGGTTTTTTTTTAGAGCATTCTCCTAGGATTGTCTTGAATTCTTGATTTTCCTGCCACTACCTCCTGAGTGTGGGTACTACCACATTTAGATAGACATATGTTTTTAATCAGTATATTTGTGGGGTTGAAATAGGCAAGATGAAAATGAAGTACATGTAGGTAAAGACTTGGATTTTCTCCTACAAGTGACAGTTTTTTGAGATGTGTACAGTATACCATGGCTTACCTGTATAGACCCTACTCCCTGTGGCTTCTTACATGAAAAAGTAAAGAAAGCAGCCCAGAGGAGCTAGAAGGAAGCCTGGAGGGCCTGAGGGTGAATGGGACTCCCATTTTATGAATCCCCACCCAAGAAGAAAGTGAGAACCTGTTACAGGCTCTGGTTTTTTCCCCTTGGTCTGAGTAGACGCATCTGACTCTGAACACTCAGAAACAGAGCCTGCCCCATCCCCTGCAGCTGGAGTCCTGGCCTCCACCCCAGAGAGAGCACAAAGAGTACCTCCTTTGCTGAAGCTTTCCCTCACCCCCCACAGGCTTTGGAAATGGTCTTGGTCAAGTCCCCTTCTGACTAAGGTCCAGTGTCTGCTGCCTGACACACCATCCTAGGGAAAGAGGCTCAGTGTAGCATTCAAGATGAGACTTTTTCTGTCAGAAACCAGATCCTAGGAGCTCTTTTTCCTGAAAATAAGAATAGGTGACATTCCTTTGGGTACCTCCCATTTCTGTTCTTTTAAAAAATATTTTTATTAATTTAAGTGTTTCATACAATCTATTTTGATCATATTCAGAACCCTTTCCCGCTCCCCCAGCCCAACTTCACGTCCTCTGTTGTTGTCTTTTTTTTT